GCGCCGATCCTGGACCCGTCAGGCAATCCACGGGCAAGAACGACCCTGAGATTCCCCCATGTGTGTGCGCCCGAGGGCTGGTGATAGCACATGGTGCGAAGGCAGGTTCCATGACCCCTCCTCCTATACTAGACGGCACCACAGACCTTACATTTCAAGAAGACACAGTTTATCAGAAATTTCCCATTTTGGGGGACTTCGTATCGATTTTGTTTTCATTTCTATACAATTCCATTAACTTGGCTTTGAAGTCTTAGGATGATTTTTATGAGAAACAGAAAATGAGCTGATGGAAGGCCTCAGTGTTGGAGCAAATGAAAATCTGAAATCTAAGAAGAAATGGTCCTGGCAGATAGCAGCCTGTATTGCAGTTGTTACATCATTATAACTTCGGGAATTTTGTTTGACCTTTTTTAGGCAGGGACAGGAGTTTCCAATTGCTCTCAACTAGGCTAACCCCTCCCTCGCTGTATGTTATGTTTCCGCCTAACAGTCTTTCTGGAAGTTCAGTTCTCCCACCAGCCCTGCAAGGGGTCCCCAGAGGCACTGACCCCAGGTGGGTCTTGGAATGTGGGCAGGTGAGCAGAGAAACCGTCCCCCCACCCCCACCCCGGCACTGCCCACAGGTGCTGCCCCCTGCATCCTGGAATGTGGGCCTTCCCACAGGTGCAGCCCTGGGAACTCAGCCAGGAATCCAGCCCTGGGGTCATCCACTCGACTGGTGGACAGGGAAGAGGTTGAAGGGAGAAGAGTAGAGATTCCGGGGTAGTGGGGCGGGGTGGCAGCGTGGAAACTGAAAAGTGAAATGGACTCAATACCCACTATTTCCACCCATGTGGGGGTAAGGCTGTCCTCCCCAAGGGCCTGGTTCACCTACTGAGTGAGGTGGTGCGGGCCGAGGGACGCTGGTCCAACTGGGGGGGCCTGCAGAGGAGGAACAGGGAACTAACATGGGCTGTGCAGAGGGTCCCGTGCCCACCACAACACTCGGGGGCAGGGCAGTAGCTGGGCGAAGCGAGGGGCAAGACAATGAGGGAACTGGCCAGTCGCTTAGCTAGAAAGCGGCCAACTGGACTTCAAGACCCTTCTTTTCACGCTCTTTCCTTTCACTCAGCCAACACCAGGCCTTTCGTGAGAAATTTAGGGGGTCACATGGATACTGAAATGGCCAGAAACCATGCAGAAAAAGTTGACAGATTTGGTAGACTTGGTCACATACAAAATATGCTAAATATTTTATAACTTGGCAGTTAAAATCACCAAGACCGACATAGTTATATAAACAAATATTGTATCAGCTTGTATATATATTATATATCGTAGAAATTTATATGTTATGATTTGCAGGTTTTGTATTTATACATGTTTGAAATTTATGTATGATACACATATGACCCCCAATTTATTTTGAAGAAAGTCAAACCTATAGGAGCACCCTAATTTAAAAATGAGCACAGGTCACAAATAGGCAATTAATGAAAGAAAAACTGCGAATGACCAATCTTCAGGAAAGTTTGATATTACCGATGATCAGAGATGCAAATAGAAATGAGACAAATTTCCACCCACTATCTTAGCAAGGCTTAAATTTCACCACCCAAGGTTGGGAGGACGTTGGGCTGGCGAGGTAAATGTCTAGCATACACTGTTATTCCCTGTGGAAGTGCCTCTGCCCACTGAGCCCCAGTGAGATTACCAACTAGACTTGGCATGTCATTTGCCACCCAGGAGAAGAGAACACTGTAATTCAGTATTGATGGAAGGATAAAATAAAATAGTAACATTTTTGGTGTGGAGGCATTTTAAACAGCATCAACTGAGTTTTTTAAGTGTGGGAGACAGAAATGGCTGGTTGCCCCCTCCTCTTCTTTCCAGAAGTAGAGAATTTTCATCTGGACACTTGACTCAGATTAAAGACTGCATTTCCCAGCCTTCCCTGCAGTTAGACATGGTCACGAGGCTAACTTTTGACCTTAGGATGTAGGCAGAAGAGTCCTGTCACCACATGGCCCTCTGGGTGCCCTTCCTCGCTTCGACTGTGTGGAGCATTGATGTGATGGCTGGAGCTCCAACTGGGCCCAGGAGGCTGAGAGTCACCTCTCGGTAGAGGGAACTGTGGGCTGGAGCAAGTCTGGAGGGTTTTGTAGAACAGACTGCTGGGCCAGCCTCGGAGGGTCTACCTCAGAACTTATTTGTGAGAGAAATAAATGTCTATTTTGTTTAAACTCCAGTTATTTGGGACTTCCTGTACCCCTCAATGAGGACCTGATGCTGACACTGTATATATCCTGACCCAGCAATTCCACCAGTAGATTAGAGAAATGGCTGGACAAGTGGGGCAATGTCCCTTTACATTACAGGCTCTGAGAGCGCAGCCTGCCCCATCCATCCTCATGAGGGGGAGCCTCTTACCCAGTGGTGGGCCGTTTAGAGGACACCTCACAGACAAGTCTTATTTGTCCCTGAACAGATGTGGGTCTTGTAGATGTGAACTACAGAGAAGGAAACCAGTATTTTATGGATGTAAATATTGAGGTCATTGCCCAGATGGCACGGTACAGGGTAGACTTCAATTGAGACCCATCCTCTGTGTCACAAGAGCTATGTGACCTTGGGTAAGCTCCTCACACTCAGCCATGGTTTCCCGTATCAGGAGCCTGCTGTCAGGGCTGCTGTGAACACAGGAGATTGCATATGTAATGTACCTGGTACATAGGTGACTAATAAATAGCAGTTATTCTTTTTACTAGGGACAAATAGGAGAATTCCACATTTATAAATATCTTGTAAGGAATGTTTCAAAATAACTAGAGAGTATTGTCCACCTCTACTGGTGGACATTTTAAGTACGTCAGTATTATTCTGGAGCAGTGGTTTTCAACCGGAGGCAGTTACGTTCTCCAGGGGACATTGGCCAATGTCTGGAGACATCTATTGGCTGTCACAAGGCGGTCCCTTCTATCTAGTAGGTAGAGGCCAGGGGAACTGCTAAACACTCACAGGCCCTGGGCACCACCGCGAGTTAGGGGGTCAGAATGTCAGTGACGCTGGGCTGAAGGGCCTGCCCCAGGACGACGGCTGCCCCAGGACGACGGCTGCCCCAGGACGACGGCTGTCCCAGGGACGCACGTAGAACTGGTCCTGCTTCCTCTCTCTGTTCCTCCCTCCCTCTCCTCCCTCCTTCCTCTCTGCTCTTTTTATTCCACACCCGGTCCACACCAAATCCTGTAGGTTCCACCTTAGAAATATATCCAGAATTTAAACAGCTCTGAACACCCCTGTCATCACGCTGACCCAAGCCACCATGGCCTCTCCCCACAGCCCTGGCCTCTGCACGGCCAGCTCAACAGCAGGCAGGTGGCCTTGTTTAGGACAGACCGTGTCTCTGCTGGGCTCAGAGTCCTCGGGCACCCTTCCATCTCATTCAGAGCAGCAGCCACAGTCCTCACGTTGACCCGCCGGCCCTGACGGCCTTCTCCTTCTTCCTCATGGACCTGATGTCCGACCCTCTCCCTTCAGCTCCCTGTCCTGGCCGCTCTGACCTGCCTGCCTGCAGCCCACGGAGCCCACCAGGAAAGCCTCTGCCCTGGGGCCTTTGCACTCACTGTCTGGCTCCTTTGGTCCTTCTTCCGGCGTGGCTGCTCCCAACCTCATTCCAGTGCTCATGGAGGCCTCACCTTTGCACACGTCCTGCTTGAAATGGGACCCCTGCACCCCCTCAGACCTCATTCTCTGTCTCCTCCCCACTCTCTCTACTCCGTGTAATATTTATCCACTCTGGGACACTTTTTGTTTTTGTGGGTTTTTTTTTGCTGGCTGTCTCTCTCCCTGCTCCATCCCTAGTTCAGGCCCGGTGCTAAGGGCTTTAATTCTTATCTGCTGAATGATACATGATCGGCAGCATTGTTCTGTTTGCTTTTGTTTTTCTTTGTTTAAGAAAGGAGCAAAGTTGTTTAAAAACGTAGAATTGTTTTCTATAGCAAAGTACCTAGACGCTCTCCGAGCCACTCTGCAAAATCTAACAGAAGCAACCACGTTTCCTTATTTCATTACAGGCAGTCCGGACCTGCTTGGCTTACACCTGTTTAAAAGTGAACTATGTAGTGCCTTGGCCTCGGGCACATGTCATCTAGCAGCTGGAGAGAGGGTTACCCTGCTGGGCCAGTGGCAGAATAAACATGGGGTCTGGCCCGTAAGTAGCTAATTTCAACAGACTCTTAGCCCTGTGCCTACCTCCTTCAGTAGTACTTCCTGTGTATGAATAAGGCCTTTGACAGCCTTAAGGCAATTTTTAGGAGCGGTTGAAATCTGGTATGCAGACATTCTCCTGGTTAAATTTAGTTTCTCAAAGTGCTGGAAAATTTAAATTTTTTAACAAATGTGCTGAGTGAATTCTACCAGGCGCTGGTCTAAGTGCTGGGGAAACCTCTCCCCACCACAAACCCTGCCTGTATGTCAAGTGGAGACACAGGCAGTTAATCAAACTGTTCAAACAGGCGTGGATTAAGCAGGACTAGTTCCGGCTCTAAGCGCCTGGGAGACCCTGGGAAGGAAACATAAAGACCCCGCCTTCATGGGCTCATATTCCTTCCGTTGCTGAATGATGGATTGAGCTGACAAGGGGTAGTCTAATTTTGGGGGTACTGATCTAATTTAAAACATCCTCCCTAACGCTAGAGAATTTTTCAATTACTAGAGGAGATAACAAAATAATGGTGAATGAAATGAGCCAGTTGGTAATCACCAGGGGTAACTGCTTGGAAGGCCTGGGAGGGTGGTGGAAAATGCAGAGGCGCTCAGAAGGTGCTGCCGGAGGCCGGCCTGGAGGAGGTGCCTAGGCCGGCCTAGGCAGACGGTCCGCGTGGGCTTTGCCACAGAGGCGCCAGTGGGTGGGGAGATGTGTGCGCAGGCCATGGGAACTCTCACCAGGAAGGTGGCACCTCCAACCTTTCCCGACTCAAAGCTTTCTTGAGCAACTACCGTGTGCTAGGCGCTCTTACCAGATTCGGTGGTGAGCGGGACAGGGGCGGTCCCCAGGCGCAGGCCCACGTGTGGATGAGCGAAGACGATGTCTTCTGTAGTGGTGGGAAAACAAGAGCAGGATCGGCCCTAGGGGCGAGAGGGGAGGAGAGCGACTGGGAAAGGTGGCGATGGGGCGCTCGCACTGGCGCGCGGGTTGGGCTTGGAGCGCAGGAAGCGGGGGCAGGGAAGGCAGGTCTCTGGGCAGGCCGGCGCGTATCCGAAGGCCCGTGGGAGGGGACCCCCGCGCGGGTAGGGAGACGAGGCCCGGCGCGCCCGCCAGGCCAGCAACCGCCCGACCCCCTTCCTGGGAGCCGCCAGCAACCGGCCCTCGGCAGACCGCCCTCCAGCCTCCAGCTGGGGCCCCGAACTCCGCACCAACCTGGTCTCTAAAACGGACACCAAACCCCACACGCCACATCCTTCAGAAGCAGGTTTTGCTAGTAGTCACCGCCGCTGCCGAAGGCACATGACGGCTCCAGGTTCAGGGGCGATGGAAGGGGCTCCCTGCGCCCCGCGTTCCCCGCGACCGCGTCCCGATGCCCCTAAGGTGCGTCTGCGACACCGACCTGACCAGCGGCCGCGTTTGTACCCCTGCAGATAGGGGGTCGCCGCCGCTGGGATCCGGCGCTCGCCCGGGACGGCTCGGCCCCAAGGTCACCAAGCGTCGCCCGCCTCCGGGGTTTCTCTGCGCCCGCTACCTCGTGCTGGGGCCGGGGGCCGGGGCGCGGTCCAGGTGGGGGCGGGAGGCCACGGGCGCGGGCGGGGGGCCAGCTCCCCGGGCTTTCAGTCCCCGTCCTGCAGCTGCGGGACGCAGGCGCCAAGCGGCCGGGCACCTTGTCAGCTTCTCCGCGGGGACCCGCGGCTCCGGGGAGAGGGCGCCCGGCCCGGCGGAAGGGCCAGGTCCCGGGGGGCGGGGCGGGGCGGGGTCAAGGGGTGGGCGGGGGGAGCGACGGGGCGGGGCCGGGCGGGGCCGGGGGCGCCCGGGCGCGGGCGCCCCTGACGGGCACAGACCGCTTCGCTCCGGACGCTGGAGGGGGGCTCCTCCCTGGGCTCCTGGCGCCCGTCCCGGGCCCGACACGCGCTTCCTCTTCCGCGCTCCGGGGCGTCGGGACGGGAAGGTGTCCGCGACTCCCCGCGAGTCCCGGGTCCGAGTGGGCCCTGGTGGCGGCGGCCGTCTGCCCCAGCTGCGCCCAGGGCGTGCAGGTCGGACTCGCGCGCGGAGCGGCAGCGGGACCTCCAGTGGGAAGATGAAGAAGCCCGACGGGAAGATCGTGCTTTTAGGGGACATGAACGTGGGCAAGACGTCGCTGCTGCAGAGGTACATGGAGCGGCGCTTCCCGGACACGGTCAGCACGGTGGGCGGCGCCTTCTATCTGAAGCAGTGGCGCTCCTTCAACATCTCCATCTGGGACACCGCAGGTGAGGGCAGGAGCCGCCCCGGCCCGCACTGTCCCGGGGCTCCGCGGGGGGCGGGGGGTGGGCGGGCGCCCCTCGGGGCCAGGTCTCCCGGGGCAGGGGTCTTCCAGGGTTCTCCGGGGCCGTGTACTCCAGCGCACGGTGCCGCCAGAGGAGGGCCCCCAGTGCAGGGTCCCCTGGGGCTCGGTTCCACCAAGGCGGGCATCCTGCCCAGCCACCACCCTTGTTCGGCAGGTGACCCCAACTGTCGGATCAGGCCTCGGGTCACAGTGTGCTGCCATCCTCGGTTCCTCTCTGTCCCCCGTTCTTTGCTGGCTGGGAGAGCGTCCTGCCACTCCATGGGTCTTAGCAACAGTGCAGGTGGTGTTTGAAAAGCACCCCCGGCTCCTCAAGAGATCCCGCTGGGGACTTGAGAACCCCATGGCAGCGGCCGGTCCCGGAGCCCCGCGGCCGGCGCTGACCCTGCTAACAGGGACCGTGCACACGGAAGTACTCGCCAGCATGAGCTCTTTTGACGCCGACAGCACCCTTCGGGTGTGAGCAGAGCCCGGGTAGTCGCCCTTCCTTCTGAGGGGGAGCCGAGGCCCAGAGCCTTCCCTGCAGGTTCAGTCAGACCAGGAAGCAGCGCTCCAGTCTCTCCTTTCAGCCCTGGGCCTGTCATTTGTCATGTGCTTGGTCTCAGCTCCTATGTTATGAGGGTTTGAAGTGATAGAAGCATTTAAAGGCAGGTAACGAATTATTTTTAGTGTGTGTAATATTTGTGATTTTTCAAAAGTACAACTTACCAGAGGATCTTGATTCAAACTTTTCCTTTGTTAACTCTGTAAAATTACACTGGAGATGATAGTGATCCCGTAGAATATATTTTCTTCTCCATGGAAAGGAATGATACCATAAGTATCCTGTAGAACTGTAAGTAACGGGGCACGTATAGCGTGACGGCACATGACGTCTGACTTTCTTTATGTCAGCACACGTCTGCCTGGTTTGTCCAAGGCTGGTCGTCTTGCTTCTTTGGTTGACTTGCTGGACTTCACTGCTCCCCTCCATTTACAGGAAGATAATGCAGGATTGGCTTTGGGGGGCCCAAACTGAGAGCCCTGTAGTGGCCGCCGTTAGGAGCTGACCTTCACCATGCGGTGTGGCGTTTCTGGAAGAGGACGTGTCCGGCACTGAGGGTATGAAGCGGCATTGTAGTGTTGACCGGCCACTTTCTTCTGCCGTGACAAGGACACACAGTGCTGCCGGAATCGCCATCCCCAGAGGGTTCTGTAGTGTGTGGCTGCTGGGATGTCCTAGGTGCCTCTTCAGGCTCCTGGGGGCGGCAGCTCCTGTCCTGGCTGCCACCTTCCTGTTCATGGAGCCCCAGGTGAGAGCTCAGGGGGAGGCCGGGCCCCACGTCCACCTCGCTGACCTCCTGTACACACGTGCACAGGTGACTGAGGCCCGGAGTCATCAGTGACACGGGCCACCTCTTTGCCTGGCTCCCCAGGGACCTGGGGTTGTGGGTGTTTTGGAGGGAAAAGACAGGTATGAATTTTTTGTAATCTTTGTTGGAAATTGAGAAGTTTGACTTAAGTGAAGTGACACCAGTTTTTCCCTCCTTTGTCATGCTCTTAAAATTTCTTGCCCCTCCCCGTTGTGTTTTAAGTTGTGTTCATTTTAATTTCCATAACCGAGGCAGAAGGATGGGGACCAGCCACAGGATGGTTGCTTTTAATGCTGTTCCTGGTCAGAGAGTGGGCGGCGTCAGGGCTTTTAGCGCTTACCATGGGAGGAACGGTCCGTTCCCGTTTCCAGGAGCAATTCAGCTCCTGGAAAACGGCTGGGCCAGTGGCTGGAAGCTGGAGGGGGAATTGCTAGGCTGGTTAAGTGGGTTGTTACTCAGGCGACACAGATTCCTCCAGGGGAGGGATGACTGCCTGTTAGGGGTGCGGTGGCGGCTCAACGTGGGTCTGCTCAGGGGCAGTGCGTCTCCTCCTGGGTGCCCTCTTGCTCCGACCACTGCCTAGTGCTGCAGATGGATGGGGGCGGTCACCATTCTTCGTTCAGTGAGGCCCGGAAGCAGAAGGTTGCCCAGACATGAGGCAGAGCCCCGGAAGGCCTGGCTGCCCCCAACCCCCGCCCTGCTTTGGTGGGTCTGAACTGCGCCAGCACATGTAAGATGGGCCTCGCCTGCCACTGGGTGGGGGGCTCAGCCCTGTGGGCAGAAAGAGGCAGACAGGGCAGGAAGTGGGCACTCTTCACATGTGACCATTGTGTCAAAGAAAATACCACTAGGCGATGAGAAAATGACTGGTATGCCCAGTAAACCCCACCACCAGGGCACTGGGAGGCTGGGCACCCCTCCTTTACTCCTTATCCCTCAAGGCTGTGGTCACTTGATGGGGGGTGAGGGGTCACGGAATGCATATTTGCATCCCAGTGCCTGTGACATGAAGTCCGTTTTCTGACCCTACCTCCCCTTCCGTCAGCTCCTGGTAACCCGTCCCCCTCTCACTCCAGGCTACGTAGTCCTCCTGCCACGTTAGGAACTCCATAGGGCACCCACGTCCCCTCCTGGGTCCCTGCTTCCTCGGAGCCCTCTCCAGCCGAGGGGATGACCCCGGATTTCTGCTGGCAGTCTGCTCAAGGCCATTAGGCGCTTTTCGTGTGAGTCCCACGTTCTCCCAGCCTCTGGGGCTCAGTCCACCTTAGGGCAGCACCACCCTCCCAGACCCAAAGCCGTTCCAGTTTCTTGCTGCTGTGAGAAATTACTGCAAACTCAGTCGCTTAAAAACTGCAGGTCAGAAGTCCTAAGTAGATCTCAGGGCGTGAAGCTCAAGGGGTCAGCAGGATTGCATTCCTTTCCGGAGGCTCCAGGGAGAAGTGACCCTCTTCCTCTCTGGCCTCGAGGACGCCCTCAGCTGTGACCTCTTCATCTCCCTCTTCTAAACCAGCCTGACTGGCTGAGTCTTTTTCTCTGACACCTGCCTTTCATGCCCTCTCCCACATTTTCCTGTGACTACTCTGGGCTCAGCTAATGTGTTCCTGCGGGTTAATAACATTTTAAGGTCAGCTGGTTAGCCATCTTAATTTGCCCGCAATTTTAATTCCCCTTGCCACATGAGATCACCTATTCACAGACTGCAGGCATTAGGACTTCTGCTTGACCCCATGTGTGACTCTGTGTGTGGCTGTCACTCTGCCCACCTCATAGTCCTCATCTATAAAATGGGGGACAGTTGAACCACCCACCTAAAGCATTGTTGTGGGGAATCAGAAAGTTAATATTGGCAAAGTGCCCCGCACAGTGCCTGGCATGAGGAAGCACGGTGTTAGTGTTTGCTAAATGAAGTCATCTCCTAGCCCAAGGAGCTTATGGCTGTGCTTGCCCCCAGTTAGCAGGCCGCAGAGGGACAAGAGGCGTGGGTGGGCCCCCAGTAAATAATCTGCAGTAAAGGAGAGATCAGAGAGAAGGAAGGTCTGGGGCAGTGCTTCGTGACTATCCATTTATAGTATAGCTTGAAATCACGAAGTGTGGTTCCTTCAACTTTGTTCTTTTGTCTCAGGATTTCTTTGGCTCTTTGGGGTCTCTTGTGAGTCCATATAAATTTTACGGATGTTTTTTCTACTTCTGTAAAAAAAAATGCATTGGAATATTGATAGGGATTGCATTGACTCTATGGATGACTTTTGGTGTATCAGTATTTTAACAGTATTCATTCTTCCAGCCCATAAACACGGGACACCTTTCCATTCATTTCTGTCATCTCTGATTTCTTGCATCAGCATCTTGTAAGTTTTCGATGTAGAGATCTTTCACTTGTAGTTAAATTTATTCCTTATGTTTTATTGTTTTTGATGCTTTTGTGAAATGGGATTGGTTCTTTTTCAGAAATGTCATTATTAGTGTATAGAAATGCTACTGATTTTTGCATGGTAATTTTGTATCTTCCAACTTTACTTAATTTCCTGATTAGATCTAACAGTTTTTGATAGAATCTTCATGATTTTCAATACATAAAAAATAATGTCTGCAAATAAGGGACAATGTTACGTCTTCCTTACCGATTCTGATACCTTTTATTTATTTTTCTTCTCTTATTTATTGTGGTGCTCCAGCTAGGACTTCCAGTACTATGTCCATTAGGGGTGGTGTGTCTTGTTCCTGATCTTAGAGGAAAAGCTTTCATCGTTGAGTATGATGTTAGCTATGGGCCTGTCATACATGGCCTTTCTTATGTTAGATATGGTCCTTCTGTGCCCAATTTGTTAAGAGTTTTTATCACGAATGGATATTGAATTTAAGTTCTTTTATGAACCTGTTGAAACGGTCATATGATTTCCATTCTTTCATTCCATTTATGGGATGGATCACATTGACTGATGTAAGGGAGGTTGAACCATCCTTGTCTCCCAGGGATAGCAGTTGGTTTAAGATCTTTCTTTTGAACAACTTCAGTGCAACCCAGGAGAGGATGCTGGAGTTCTGGGTCATGAGGTCATGGTGCCTGGAGGAGGGAGAATATATTTGTTCATGCCCATGAAGTTAGCTGAGGTCTTGGCTACCTCAAGAAGGTCTCAGGTTTTTTACTGTGTGTGTCCTTTTTGAGTTAGACTGTGGTGAGGGTGGGCTCTGGATTTAAGATTAACATGAGTGTCAACTGAAAAAACTTCTTGGGAAAAAATCTTAGTTTAGGTTTAGGATCTGGAAGACAAACTTGCAAAGCCTGTGTTGTATGTGGGTCCGCCTCTTAAAAGTTGGGTTCCAGGTGGGTTCAAATCTTGGGAAATGGGTTCACATCTTGGGAGGTCTTTATTGCCGGTGAAGACTTCGCATGGGTTCTCTCTAAGTGCAAGGCCTCATTTGCAGAATTCCTCTGCTTTCTCAATCAGAAACAGTGGCCTGAATATGAATATGGGTATTAAGATAGGTGGAAGGAAATGGACTGTTCTGGGTTTGGCAGAGCAGACAACGTGCCGTTATACTGCGTGCTTCAGAGGATAAAGGATTCCTGTGA